ACCCCATGCTCTAAAACCTTGTCAAAAATGGAATATTGGGGATTGGCTAATAATCATCTAATACAGTGAGATCCAATGAGGGCTTACTGCTGCCTCTTTTGGGCATTCTGGTACCATGCCTGGTTGCAAAGAGGCGTTCACCACCCCTCTGGCTGGTTTGACAAACCAGGAAGGGCAAGGGTTCAACACACCTGCGGTGACTTTAACCTCTCAAAAGATCCTGTCCATATCATCAGGATGCACCACCTAAAATGTGTCCATTATAATGGGACAAGCAGGATCCAAAATTACATCAACAGGACCTGTGGATCTGAGAACATTTATCTCCAAAGTGCTGTGAGAAATCTTTCCAATGGGTTGTTTGTTGAGTGGTCAGTGTCCTTCTCTGGTGGCCATGACGTGTGTGAAAAGAATTGTTTTATACGGCCTTCAGTGGGATGCCCAAGAACTAAGTCTTAAGTTAGTTTATTAGAGCAGAGAATGTGAGTAGGAGAGAATTTAATAAAAAAAAGAGAGAGGAGGAGGTGACGAGAAAGGAATGTTAGTATTCGGAGTTGAGATTTGTGGATGAATTACATGAAGGATGAGGGAGAGCATATTTCAGATTTCTGCTGTCAGGGGTATTTTGTTCCTCAAAACAGGAGCGGTCTTCACATGCCCTCCGCAAACTTCCTGCTTCTGTTTGTTAGCATAAGCAAGAGCAGAAAGACTTAGGCACCTGGTAGGAGGGGAATGACCTTTTAGCTGTGTATATGGCAACACCCAACAGTGGAGGGGGAACTGACGAAGAGCGCTCAACAAAAATAAAAAGTAAAATGAACTAATCAGGGAACTGTTCCCTGAGGCCAATTTTTGCATATATGTCTCTTCTGGCACCAGCCTTACGCAACAATTACTTTCCTTTGAAGAATTATTCATTCTGAAAGCTGCAAGTTCAGACCAATTTTACGGGCTCACCACACTTCTGCTGAAGGCCATGATCGCATCATGAGTGTACGGTGCATCTTATAGTACATCTTACAGTTCCGTAGGCAATTCTGGCAGGGCCCCGCTCCCAGCGAGGTTACAGTACTAAAAAGGGGGAGGGGAACAAAAGGAGAACGAAATGAAGTGCCTTATATCAGGGAGAGCAGTATTATCTACACTGATCTGACTTGCAATCACTTTCCTAGTTTCTGGGTAAGAGTCTTTTCCAGCTGTGCTTGGAGATGGTATGAACTGAACCCAGGCCTTTTTGCACCAAAATATGTCAGCTGTCAACAGGTTACACCAAAAGGGAGGGAGAGACAAAATGCAATAACAAACCCTGATAACATTATAAAGTGCGGAAGAAGAGGAATAATTCCAAGGGAGATGGCACAGAAGAGGAAGTATGTACTGCTCAAATTATTGCTGGAGTGAACTGCAGCTACTTGAGAGGGAACAGAGGCGCAGTGAGATCCTTGAACGGACTATGATAGCTTAAACAACTCCTGAAACACTGCAACTGAGTGTGCAGTCAGAGGGGCATTTAGCCTGTGGTTTGTTCCGCTGTTGGGACAGGCTGGTTCACTTTTTTTTTCCAGTGATCACATGATGTAATCAGTGGAGTGAACCAATTCATCCCAGAACACTCCTGCCCGAGGCGCAGTGAGATCCTATCAGCTTGAACGGACTATGATAGCTTAAACACCTCCTGAAACACAAGATATAGAAAAAAATTAAGAGGAAATGCTACAGACACTGAGACAAAGTTTATCACTACAGTGAAAACAAGCTGAAATTAGGCATAATTTTAATGACTGATTTCTAGAGAAAAATATTGCAATGTTTAGTATACCTATAGTGCCAAAAAAAGCAAACCACTTTGCACACATATGGACATCCAGAAATATTTCATCAGATGCAAAACATAAATTAGTTTTGTTTGTAAGGTGCCAACTGGATTCTTTATTGTTTACACTGCAACTGAGTGTGCAGTCAGAGGGGCATTTAGCCTGTGGTTTGTTCCGCTGTTGGGACAGGCTGGTTCACTTTTTTTTTCCAGTGATCACATGATGTAATCAGTGGAGTGAACCAATTCATCCCAGAACACTCCTGCCTATGCCTTTCTGGGTCCCTTTTTGTTTGTTCAGTTGTTTAGTCGTGTCCGGGTCTTCGTGACCCCATGGACCTCAGAGCACTCCTACCTATGCCTTTCTGGGTCCCCTCTTAGGGGCTTCTAATTTTTGATGTGGGTAGGATTGTTCTATTTTGGTTGATTTCCAATGCATGTGATCGCTGGAAACAAACCAAAGCCAGCTTGGGGTTCTGAAGACTTCTTCCACTGTCAACTTGCCATATCACTAAGGTAAGAGTGAGTGATACCTTTTATTGGGCCCTCTGAAGACTTTTTCCACTGTCAACTTGCCATATCACTAATGTAAGAGTGAGTGATACCTTTTATTGGGCCACTAAAAAAGTAAAACAAAATGCAAGCTTACACTTGCTAAGCACCACCACTTCATGGATAGTACGGGGGAAAATGAGATTTTTAAAAAATGTACAATTGCATGGGCAGCTCGTGGGCCGGGACGGGGGTGGCGGTCCAGACCTGCCCCGGTCAGGAGCCGAACTAACAGCTCCCTCGGGATCCCTAACGCAGCGCCTCTGCCTCGGTGTGGCTTCTCTGCCGCGGCTCGTAGGGCGCACGAAGGGAGGCAGAGAAGCAGCGTTGCCCAGAATTAGAGGTTACATTGCAACCCGCCTACCCCCTCTTCAGACAACCTCCTTTCTTCCCGCCTTCCTCGCCCCCTCCTCCTTTTAACCCTTGCTCCGCCTTTCCGTCCGCCCCCCCCTCCACACGTGACGGGGCCTTCTGACGCCAGGCGGGCAGGCAGGGCAGGGCGGCGAGCGCGAGTGGCCCGGCGCTGACACGGGCTCGGCGTGGAGCTTGGCGAGGGCGGGG